ATACTGGTACCTAAACCAGGAAGAATAAAAACAGAAAAAGAAAATTATAGACCAATTTCTTTAATGAATATGGATGCAAAAATCCTAAATAAAATACTAGCTAAAAGATTACAACAATATATTAAAAAGATTATGCATTATGATCAAGTGGGATTTATACTAGGAATCCAGGGATGGTTTAACATAACTGTTAACGCAACTGATTACATCAATAATAAAAGTTTAAAAAATCATGATTATATCCATAGATACAGAAAAAAAACTTTTGATAAACTTCAACACTCATTTGTATTAAAAGCACTTGAAAATATTGGCATAAATGGATTTTTACTTAAATTGATAAAAAGCATTTATCTAAAACCATCAGCAAGCATTACTTATAATGGGGATAAACTAGAAGCCTTCCTAGTAAGATCAGGTGTGAAACAAGGATGTTCATTATACCAATACTATTCAATATTATATTGGAAATCCTAGCAATAGCAATAAGGAAAAAAAAAGAAATAGAAAGAATCAGAATAGGGAATGAGGTAATAATACTATCTCTTTTTGTAGATGACATACTTGGAAAACCCCAAAGATTCAACTAAAATGTTAGTTGAAACAATTGATAATTTTAGCAAAGTAGCAGGATATAAAAGAAATCCACATAAATAATCAGCATTCCTATATGTCACAAACAAAACTCTGCAAGAAAAGATAGTAAAATATACCCCATTTAAAATAACTCTAGATAATATAAAATATCTGTGAGTATATCTGCCAAAACAAACCCAGGAACTATATAAATGAAATTGTAAAAAACTTTTTATACAAATAAAATTGTATTTAAGTGATTGGAGAAATATTAATTGTTCATGGTATGCAGGGCCAATATAATAAAAATCACAATTTTAGCAAAACTAATTTATATATCTAAAGCCATCCCAATTAAATTGTCCAAATTTTTTTTACTAAATTAGAAAAAATAGTAAATTCATTTGGAAAACAAAAAGCCAAGAATATCAAAGGAAGTAATGAAAAAAATGTAAAGGAAGGAGGTTTAGCAGCACTAGATTTAAAACTATATTATAAGTTAGTAGTTATCAAAACTATCTGGAACTGGCTAAGAAACAGAAAGGTAAATCAATGGAATAGAGTAGACATACAATTTATAGCAACAAATGAACATCATAACCTCATATTTGACAACTGTAAAGACTTAAGATTTTGGGATAAGAATTGATTATTTGGTAAAAATTGTTGGGAAAACTGGAAAGCAATATGGCAGAACCTCGGCGTAGACTAATATCTTATGCCACTTACCAAGATAAGGTCAAAATGGATACACTACCTGGATATAAAGAGAGATTTTACAAGAAAATTAGAAGAAAATGGAACATATTACTTATCAGACTTATGGAAAGGTAAACAATTTATGAATAAACAAGAGATAAAGAAGAAAGTTAGGTGTAAAATGGATAATTTTGATTATATCAAATTTAAAAGTTTTTGTACAAATAAAACAAATGTAACCAAGATCAGAAGGAAAGCAGAAAATTGGGGGGGAAATTTTACGGACAGTTTATCAGATAAAGGTTATTTTATAACTAAAGGATTGGCTAAAATAATAGGAAGGAAAAGTGACAAATGTTGGAAAGGCTGTGGAAAAATTGGGACACTAATTCAATGTTGGTGGAATTGTGAACTGATCTAACCATTTCAGAGAGCAATCTGGAATTATGCCCAAAGAATTATTAAAATACCTATACCCTTTGATCCAGCAATACAACTACTTAGTCTATCTCTGAAGATAATTAGGAAAAAAGGAAAAGAACTTATATGTTCTGAAATGTTTATAGCAGTTCTCTTTGTGGTGCCAAAGAACTGGAAATTGCAGGGATATCCATCAATTGGGGAACGGCTGAACAAGTTTTGGTATATGATTGTGATGAAATACTACTGTGCTATAAGAAATGATAAGCTCAATAATTTTAGAAAAACATAGAAAGCAATTAATTAATGAAGAGAGAAACGAGCAGAACCAAGTGAACCTTATATACAGTAACAGTAATATTATTTTAAGAATGACTTTGAATGAATAAGTTATTTTGACTATTATAAATACACAAATTAACTATAAAGGACATATGAAAGAAGACACTGTCAGCATCCAGAGAAAGAACTGATAAATAAAAGTATGTATAGAATAATTTTACATATATATACCTATTTGTGTCTAATGGTAGCCATCTCTGGGGGAGAAGGGGCAGGGAGAGAAGAAAAAAAAGAAATTTACGTGATAATTTTGTTGTATATCTGAAAGGAATAGCAAGTTATGCATTGATTTGCAATTTCATATATAGTCATCTTTGTTATTGTACTGTTATTGAAATGCTTGTTTTATTCCATAAATTGAAAAAAAAATTAACAAAAAAAAAGAAGTGATGACGGGCAGGCAGGTGGTGCAATGAACAGAGCACTAGCCCTGGAGTCAGGAAGACCTGAGTTCAAAGCCAGCTTCAGACAATTAGTAGCTGTGTGACCCTGGATAAGTCACTTAACCCCAATTGCCAGGGAGGAGGAGGAGGAGGAGGAGGAGGAGGAGGAGGAGGAGGAGGAGAAGAAGGAGAAGAAGAAGAAGAAGAAGAAGAAGAAGAAGAAGAAGAAGAAGAAGAAGAAGAAGAAGAAGAAGAAGAAGAAGAAGAAGAAGAAGAAGAAAGTGTATTTCTTACGTTATTATCCTGCTCTTCAAAAACCCACAAACCTTTGCTCACATATGCTTTGTAGACTTCACATTTTTCAGCAGGGAGAATTACTAAAGCTTGTATGTGCCTAGAGAAAATTATATGGTGACTTGATGAACAAATTGTTCATCTCTAATTTTGGTGTCAGACTCAAATAGAAATGAGGCCACTAACACGTATAGCCATATATTGACTTAGAAAACCATGGGCCCACCCCTCCAGAAGAGGGGTGGAGCCCGTTTCTGGCCAGAAATGTCTAAATCCTCTGAACTTTCTCTGTAATAAATTTTCTTGATACTAAATTTTTGGTGTCAAGCCTATTTCTAACAATTTGGCGCCCAATGTGGGGCTCGATCTAGACTTCGGAGTGGACAGGGTAAGACATCCCGGGAAGAGCGCTTCCGCTGTATTTCAGTGGTCTCGGTGAATTGAGCCTTTCCCAACTGAACTCCTGATCTTGGACCATGTGGGAGAAGTCCAGGGGACTGGGGAAGCTGCCAGCAGACCACAAGAGCCAATATATTGGGCAAAGGAGTTTTGTGAGGTGGAACTCTTACTGATTAAGTGTCCCATTGAAGACACCTCTGGACTAAAGAAATTAGTCTAAATCCAGGTGTGGTTAACAACGAACTGATTGAGCTACTGACCCATAACGTCAGCAACCTGCAAAGAGGTTTGTGAGCTGTACCTATTATGAGCTGCAAGAAGGTGTTCTCATGGGAAGATCGGGAGAACGACTTTTCTGCATGGCTGAGGAGAGTGGATACAAGAAGAAGGATCTCTGCAGGAGGAGAGTCTGCTGGACACAGTTTGAACAGCACTTAGACAAGAAGACTTCACCGGATGATGTCCAGAGTGTCAGACAGCGGTATGAGAAGAGAGTTCTGAAGCTTTAAATGGACAATTTATCATTACTTTTGCGTCTCTGTATCTGTACTTAATAAGGGGACTGCCCCCTTTTTAATTTGTCAATGCGTCGGTCAACTCTTCCCTTTCTTCTCTCATTTTGTTTTAAGTCCCCAAAATCCCTTGATGAAATGTTGCCCAGCAGCACAGTCCCAGGTAGAAACATCACTAAGGCATTGAAAGTGATGGTTAGAATCAGGTGGAGGTAGGATGATGACTGAGAGAGTTAATGATCATTCCTCCTCCTCTGATGAAAAATGCTAACTAATGTTAAAATGCTTTGAGGAAAGACAACAGGAACAAAAAGTGTGGAAACATAATTCTTATTGAGAAGAAGAGGAGGGAGTTGTTAGAGTTAGAAGGGCTTACGTTTCCACAGGTAGAATAATGCAGAGATTTAAAGAACAACAGCTCCAGGAAGTAGTACACTGCAGGTGGGCTCGGGCTTAGCCAATAAAAAGTAAGTGGATTGTTCCAAAAAGATCCCAAAATCAAGATAAGGGTCGAGCCAGCTCAGACCAGTTAGGGTCAATCTGAGGACACCTGAAAAATGTTAGTGCGCCTGCCTAATGAGCTTCATTACTATTATCTGACACACCCTGCATAAAATTAGAGCCTCATTAACGAGTCATGGGACGTATGACCAAGGGAGGGGAACATATTTGAACATATCAAGGAGAAACATGTAAGGAAAGGTGTAACCTGAGAAGGATTGGCCCAATCCCAGCCTGGGAGGTTTCGTGCCGAATTCAACTGCATAAAAGCACACTTTCCCTTGCACTCAGGGCCCACCCTCCTGAATAGGGATGGAGCCCGCTTCTGGCCAGAAATGTCTAAATCCTCTGGGCTTTCTTTATAATAAATTTTTTTGATATTTAAAAAAAAAAAAGAAAAGAAAAGAAAAAGAAAACCACATTAGCATTATCTACTCTAACCCAGGCTTGTCTGTGCATGCCCACTTCTCCTAACACGGAGGCACCCTGAGGGGCCTTTGGAACATACCCAGATTTCCTAACATGTAGTCCCTTACCATGTTGGGGAGGGGTGTAACCTTCTTTGATTGGCTACCTGAATCTTTAGAACTGGTGAGACTGAGCCCTTCACCCTCTCTTTTCTGTTCCTTTCCCTTTTGGTCACTCTTACCTGCTGTGTCCAGAGAGTGAAGATCACCCAGGTCATCTGTAGCATGGGTGATGTGAATTGAATGAGAGAGAGAGAGAGAGAGAGAGAGAGAGAGAGAGAGAGAGAGAGAGAGAGAGAGAGAGAGAGAGGAAGGACTTCCTTCTGCTCTTCCCTCTTTAACCCTAGCTCTGTAAAACGGGCATGGAGGTGTTTGGTCACTTCTGTGTTGTTTGTCCTCCGTTTCAGGTCCTGGAGATGTTCTCCACAGGAGATCTATAGGAGCTGGATTCCTGATGACCTGGAAGCCAGGATTGCAGCGGGATGGTGCAACCAGGCGGCTCAGCACAGAAGGCCTGAAAAGCCAGGATTTCTTGGACTCCAGCCCAAGGGTGGGTTTTGGGCTTGGAACTGGGGCTGTACTCTATGGGAAATAAGCTAAGCGAATAAACTTAATCCCTTTCCCCTCCCTAAAGACTGAGGTGTTACAAAAGGGGCAAGGGAATTATGCCTCCCATGTGTTTGTATAGTTGTGGACCATATTTTTTAAAGTAACTATTTCCTTATAAAAGCTAATCTGACTGTTAGTGGTAATGGAACTGGAGCTCAGGGAACTCCACACACACACACACACACACACACACACACACACACACACACACACACACACACACACACGCACACACGGAGGGGAGTGCCATTTTCAGAGAGCCTGGATACCACCACTACCTCCAATCCCCTTAAGGTCTGGAAGAACCCTGGGGAAAGGATGAAATGTAATCTGCCTGGCCTTCAGGTACTGAAGGGGGCCAGGGTGACTAGTGTTACACTACATTATATTGTATTTTTTACTTATTTTGTCTAGTATTTCCCAATTACATTTTAATCTGTGTTGGGCTGCACCTCAGGAGTGTTGCAGATGCCGCTGTATGTTTGACACCTCTGATCTTTTTTTTTTCAAGAACAATGTTTTTAATAGCATACCAAGTGTTCATAATCTCTAAGCTACGTGGGTGAAAAGCTTGCAACATATAGAGACCTAGGGGAAAGAATCATGTGGGAACAGCCTGAGGAACATGCCATCCTCACAGTCCTGCTTCCTCCTAGAATTGTCCTAAAGATGTATTCTTTACTTTTTAAAATTTGTTTTATTAATTTATTTTGATTTATCAACAATCACTTCCATATGCTTTTGAGTTTAAAATTTTTCTCCCTCTTCCTCCCCACCACTCTCCCCAAGACAGCGCACAATCTGATATAGGCTATACAATTACATTACTGTTAAACATATTTTCCATTAGTGATGTTGTAAGTAAAAATTAAGACCAATAGGAGGAATCATCAGAAAGAGGAAACAAAACTCAACAGAAGAGAAAAAAAAAGATAGCAATTCAACTTCCATAGTTCTTTCTTTGGATGTGGATGGCATTTGCCATCATGAGGCCTCTGGAGATGTCTTAGATCCTTGTAATGCTGAGAAGGGTTCAGTTTATCGATATCAGTCATCCACAATGTGGCTGTTATTGTGTACAAAGTTCTCTTGGTTCTTCTCACTTCACTCAGCAGACACCTCTGATCTTTAAGAGCTCAATAAATGTTTACTGGATAACTAATTAAATGAATCCTGAATCCAGCTTTCCACTGCCTCACCACCAGACCAGACCCAGAAAAACCCACCCCTTACCCTCCCAACCCCTGCCCCCAACTTCAAAACTCCTCAGAACCTCTAGCTCACAATATAATAATGAGATCAACTCTGAGTCCTGGGCTGCTAGATCTGCTCATGGGAAGGGTGTGACTCTTCTATGTCTACTGTTCTATGGCTAACAAACTTTCCCCTACACGGGGTCATTGTGCTTCAGACGTTGGCTGCCTAGGCAACTCTCTACCCTTCCTACTTCTCCCCATTTCTTCATCCCCATCCATGTCAGTCTTAGCCCTCTTACATATTTATCCTGCTCTGCTGCCCCCACCCACTGCATCCTGGGACATCTCCACTTGTCCAGATCTATATCTGGCCACTGGACCCAGATGGCTCCAAAGGAGAAAGTGAGGCTGGTGACTTTGCACAGCACTCCAATTCACTTAGAAGTTATGGCACCAACTTCCTGATGTCATGGGCCTCTTTGAGAATGAAGGACAAACAACAACCCCCCCCACACACACACACACATATACACATTATACCTTATATTACCTATGTTCTATTATTAACAAACTGCAACGTCTATTAGCGGCTTTTCTATCACGCTCTTACCATCTTCTTGTAATCCTAATGTAGCAGGGTCTGAAGCTGCTTTCTCCACCCCCACTTGCCTGGCAGATTAGAAATCCAGAAAGTAGCTACAATGTCTCCCCTCAGGGTTCTAGAGGTGGAGAAGGGATTGTGAAGGGGAGGGTTGGGTTCTAAGACTATAGTTTATAAACCCCTACTGGTATGCTTCCTTCCCTCCCTAATGATTATCAGTTGATATCAATTTTTCACCAGACTTAATTAGCTTTTATACTAAGGTTGTATAGCAAGAACAGTTGGTATAAAACATTTTCCCCAAAGTATGTGTCACACTCTCCCACAAGTACATACAGAGCCCAAGGGAAAGTGAGACAAAGAGTAAGTTACAGATGCTGGATGCTAGAAATACTTTTCCCCCATTGGCAGGACTTTTATACCCATAAGTATGGTATAGTTTTCCTATGGAGTCCTTATAGCTGCTTTTCCCCAATGTCTAGTTTACAGATGGCAGCTGATGAGACCCTGCATCCAGCCACTGTCCTTCTAGTGATACTTCTAGGATGCCTATGAGAAGTCCAACCCTCGAACTTCCAAAATTCATAGGGATCGCAAGTAAGGAAGCAGAGGCTGTCTCTCCCCCCCTCAAATGATTCCCTTTTGGGGGCTTGGATGAACTGCTTTCTCTGTATTACACACTAGCATTCTATGTTCTAGTAGGTCTTCAGAATGTGACTAAGTTTCTATAGCCAATCCAAATTTACCTCCTGTGCAGTATCACTCCATTTATTCAAGCATCCATTCATTTATTCATTTATTTATATTTTATTTGCTTTAATTGGCCAATATCTGCCTTTTCATCCTCCCACTTGACTCCCACCCCCAAGTAATAACCCCAAGAAAAACGCCATTATTTGTCTTTTTTTTTAATTTTACTAATTTATTTTGATTTATCAATAATCACTTCCATATGCATTTGAGTTTAAAATTTTTCTCCCCTTTCCTCCCCACCACCCTTCCCAAGACAGCACACAATCTGATATAGGCTATACATTTACATTCTTATTAAACATATTTTCACATTAGTGGTGTTGTAAGTAAAAATTAAAACCAATAGGAAGAACCATCAGAAAGAGGAAACAAAACTTAACAGAAGAGAAAAAAAATAGCAATTCAACTTTCATAGTTCTTTCTTTGGATTTTCCATCATGAGGCCTCTGGAGATGTCTTAGATCCTTGTATTGCTGGGAAGGGTTAAGTTTATCAATATTATTCACTGCACAACATGGCTGTTATTGTTTGCAACGTTCTCTTGGTTCTGCTCACTTCACTCAGCATCAGACCGTACAAGTCTTTCCAAGTTTTTCTGAAGTCAGCCTGTTCATCATTTCTTATAGCACAATAGTATCCCCATTACATTCATATACCACAACTTGCTCAGCCATTCCCCAATTGATGAGCATCCTCTCAATTTCCAATTCTTTGCCACCACAAAAAGAGCTGCTAGGAATATTTCTGTACATGTGGGTCCTTTTCCCATTTGTATGATCTCTTTGGGATATAGCCCTAGAAGTGCTATTGCTGGGTCAAAGGGTATGCACGTTTTTATAGCCCTTTGGGCATAGTTCCAAATTGTTCTCCAAAATAGTTGAATCATTTCACAACTCCACCAACAATGCATTAGTATTCCAATTTTCCCACATCTTCTCCAACATTTATCATTTTCCTGTTTTGTCATGTTGGCCAATCTGATAGGTGTGATGTGGCACCTCAGAGTTGTTTTGATTTTCATTTCTCTAATCAATAATGATTTAGAGCATTTTGTCATATGACTATAGATGGCTCTCATTTCTTCATCTGAGAATTGTCTGTTCATATCCTTTGACCATTTATCAATTGGGGAATGGCTTGTATTCTTATAAATTTGTCTTAATTCTCTATATATTTTAGAAATGAGGCTCTTATCAGAGAGACTGGCTGTGAAAATTATTTCCCAATTTTCTACCTTCCTTCTAATTTTAGTTGCATTGGTTTTGTTTGTACAAAACCTTTTCAATTTAATGTAATCAAAATTATCCATTTTGCTTTTCGTAATGTTCTCTATCTCCTGTTTGGTCATGAATTCTTCTGTTCTCCATATATCTGATAGATAAACTATTCCTTGCTCTCCCAGTTTACTTATGGTATCAGCCTTTATATCTAAATCATATAAACACGTATTGTCGATCAAAACAAATTTCCACATTTGTCTTGTCCAAGAAAATATGTCTCATTCTGAGTCTTTTATTTATCTCTCTGTCAGGAGCAGGGTAACATGTTTCATCATTAGTCCTCTGGAATCCTGATTGGTCGTTACTGTGCTAAGAGTTCTGCATAATATTATTCCATCATATTTTTTTATACCATAACTTGTTCATCTATTCCTCACTTTATATAGGCACCCCCTCAAATTCTCACTGTGCCACCTCAAAAAGAGCTATAAATACTTTTGTACATCATTAAAGGGTTTTTGTTTTTGCTTAGGACTGATCCCTCCCTCAATCTACCCTCCTTCTAATTTCCCATTCCCGCTTTTACCCTTTCCTCCTATTTCCCTATTGAGTGAAATGTACTTTTGTACTCAACTGTGTGTGTAAGTGTATTGCTCCTTCTTTTGACCAATTGGGACAAGAGTGAGGGTTAAGTGTCAGCCACTCTCCCATCCCCTCCTTCTTGTTTTATAGATGTCTACTTGTGGATTTTAATTATGTGAGATAATTTTCCCTGAACTTCTTTTCTCTTTCCCTCCTCTCCTTCCCTGCCAGTGTATTATTACCCTCCCCCTCTCTTTACATTGTTTTCTTAAGATCATCAAGACATAACAGACTCTTAGGTTTTGTCTAATTAAATTCCCTCTATGAACCTTGGTGATGATAAGGTTCAGTGGGCATACACCTATCATCTCCTTATATTTAAATTTAAGCAGTTTATCCTTGTTCAGTTTTTTATCAGTGTTCATTAATGTGTTTTTTTTTTTTATGCTTCTCTTCACTCTGTGTTTGAGCTTTGAAGTTTCTCTGCAGGTCTGGTCTTTGTTATCAGGAATACTCAGAAGTTCTCTATTTCATTAAAGATCTATTTTTCCCCTTTTACTCAGTTTTGCTGGGTAAGTTATTCTTGACCATAAGTCCATATCCTTTGCCTTCTCAATATCATATTCCAGGTCCTTGAAGTGGTGACTGCTCCATCATGTATGATCTGGATTGTGGCTCCTCAGCATTTCAATTCCTTCTTTCTGGTTGCTTGCAGTATATTTTCTTTGGCTTGAAAGTTCTGGATTTTGACTATGACCTTCCTGGGAGTTTCATTTTCTGGTTTCTTTCAGGAGGTGACTAGTGGATTGTTTTTATTTCTGCTTTACTTTCTGGTTCTCAGAAATGTAAACAATTTTCTTTAAGCTTTCTTGAAATACAATGTAAAGGCTCCTTTTCTGGCCATCTTATTCAAAGAGTCCAGTGATTCATAATTTTTTTTCTCCTTAGTCTGTTTTCCAGGTCATTTGTTTCTGCTATGAGATACTTTATATTTTCTTTATATTTTCAGCCTTTGTTTTAAAGTTTCTTGTTGACTCATGAAGTCATTGACTTCTATTTGATTCATTAGATTTTCAGGGAGTTTGTTGCTTGAGCAAGGTTTTGTATTTCTTATGCCCAGCTGTTAATTCCCTTTCCAAGTCTTTCTTCCATAGCTCTCATTTCTTTTCCGATTTCTTTCCTTAAGCACTCTCACTTACAAAAATATTTTTCACTCTTTTTAAAACTTTTGCTTCATCTCTCCCACAAATTCTGGTTAAGTTTGTGCCAAAGCTGTATTTTTCTCCAAGACACTACTTGTAAATATTTTTGAGTCATTCTCTGTTTCTATGTTTGTGTCTCGAGCATCCCTGCCACCATAATAGCTTTTCATGGTGTGGTTCTTTGCTTACCCATTCTTCCCACCTGCTTCCTGACTTCCAACTTGATGTCAGGGCTGAAAGCTGCCATGATTCTCTAGGGAAGGTCTAGGCTTGTCCTTTTGCTACCTTCTTGGGGTATTGAGTGTTGTGTTATTCCAGGGTCTTAGAGACCGACTGGGACCAGCAAGCTTTCAGTTTTCCCAAAATGGTCTGGTGCAGGGCAGACTTAATCCCTGGTCTGAGTGCTGCAAGTTCCTGAGCTGGGTTTAGGTCTCTGTAAGAGTAAACGCTGCTGGGCTCTGCCCCTGCTGGCCACCAGAAGAGCCCTGTTGGCTCAGAGTGGCAGAATTGTAGGCTCTTCTTTGGTCTGGGATCCCCACCCTGGTTATTCCTCTGCAGTCTGAGGCAGATGTTAGAAGTGAGACCCTGTTTTGTTCTTTGGGTCTGAGCCATACCCCTGCTGCTGCTGCTGGCTTCAGAATTTCCTTCTTTTACTATACACAGCTCAAGTCCTCCCTACCCAATACACCACCCCTCTACACAGATCCCCTTCCCTGTCCACCCTGGATCTGTGATGCAGAACTGGATAGTGGAAGACAAGTTCATATTTGTCCACTTTGTAGTGTCCTGTTATGGGTCTGGTGGTACCTCAGTATGGGGACTGGGACTTCCACTTGCCCTGGTTCACAGCCTCTCCCTAAGTGTTGGAATACTTCCCATGTGGCTTGCTCTTGGCCCAATGCACTCTCCAGTGTTAACATACCTCCATGGCATCCTCTGTATACTGAGCTCAACTATTCAAATGGTATACTGTGACTTTTTTCTGCATTTTTACAACAGGGGTGGTCTGGTGCATTTTCTAGATCAGTTTGGAGGACTTTGTGGAAGGGAGCTCCATGGTACTGTTTCCTACAACTCCATCATCTTGGCTTTGCCCTCAGTATCACTCCATTTCATCCAAAGCCCTTGATTGATTTAATGTAGAGGTTTTCATTTGGTTAAGGTGGTTATTTTAAGTGGAATAGGGTGATTAATTCAATAGAGCTGATTAGGCCTTATTCACACTAGTTTATGCCTCTGCTAGACTGATCCAATAAAGAAGTCCAGACAAAGCCCATGCTAATACTAAAAGCCTGATTCTTCCCTATCCCTCCTACCAAAGACACTGCATCCATGCTCACTCTCACCATTACTAGATATATCTTCTCTCATGCCCCTCAGGTCAGGAAGAGTAAGCATGCTTTTTACTCTTCCATACTACTTCAATTCAATTCAATTCAATAAACATTTATTAAGTACCTACTATGTGCCAGGCACCATACTAAGCCCCAGGAATACAAAAAGAGGCAAAAGACAGTCAAAGAGCTTACAATCTAATGGAGGAGACAACATACAAACAAATATATACAAAGCAAGCTATCTACAGGATAAATAGAAAATAATTAAAAGAGGGAAAGCACTGGAATTAGGAGGGATTAGGAAAGGCTTAGGGTGGCTAGGTGGATCAGTGGATAGAGTGCCAGGCCAGGAGTCTGGAAGACTCATCTTCATGAGTTCAAATTTGGCCTCAGACATTTACTGGCTATGTGACCCTGGGCAAGTCACTTAACCCTGTTGCCTCATTCCTCATCTGTAAAATGAACTGGAGAAATGAAGGAAATAGCAAATCATTCCAGTTTAC